TAGGATAGTTGCATTCCCAAATATCTCTCAATCAACAGCCTTGATTTACCTTATCCCCTCATAAATATGTATCAGATTCACATTCATGAATATGCATGAGGTTTGATTCACATCTCATGAATATGCACGAGTTGTTTGATTAATATCTCATGAATATGCATGAGGTTGATTCATATCTCATGAATATGCATGAGGTTGATTCATATCTCATAAATGTGCATGAGGTTTGATTAATATCTCATAAATATGCATGAGGTTTGATTCATATCTCATAAATACGCATGAGGTTTGATTCACATTCATGAATATGCATGAGGTTGATTCATATCTCATAAATATGCATGAGGTTTGATTAATATCTCATGAATATGCATGAGGTTGATTCATATCTCATAAATATGCACGAGGTTTGATTAATATCTCATGAATATGCATGAAACTAATTCATCTCATATATATGCATGAGGTATGCTTGGGTTGGGACTTATTCCTCAATTGTATAAACAACTGAATTATCAGTTTTGTATTGTATTGATTCAAATTTGGCACAAAGATAAAACAGATAAATTTAGTTTAGTAGAAGTCATTGCACAACACAGCACACGCATCCCTCACGATATTTTGTAAGTAACTTCAAAGATTTTGAACGTGTGTGGAGCTACAACTGTTTTAATTGGTCCAAAACTTGTTCAGTATCCTTGCCAATGATTTATTACTGTTCCCATACAGTATGTAGCACCCACAATTATCAAAATAAATCTCATTTAAAATGAGTGTGAAGGAACCAATCTACAACAATGATGTCCATCAAAAAATGTTTTTGAGTGATTTACTACATACTGGTATATATTGTAATATTCAAAACGATGACCAGCAAATCACTGTCGCTTAGAATTACAATCCTTTCCCCTTTTTCAAAGACAAATAAAGTTTCATAACTTTTTTTCTAATTTTTTTTCAAAAATGTTGAACGTAGGCAATAGAAATTAAGTCTATTTAGTTCAGAATTGACAAAACGATTATAGAAAAGTGTATTTTTAATGTGTAAAATGTTGCACGAAAAATGTGGGATATTATGTTCAAATAGTTGATTCGTGATAGTGTATTAGAGAGAATTTATTTTCTTAGAAATTGACAATGCACCCATAGAAGTGCACTCAAGTCAAAAATTACATTTATTGTATGTTAAAAATTAACCATGTAAAAAAAATACTTGAATTACATTTGTACATCATATGTATTCACACTTTTCATCCCAAATGCTTTATCTAACAGACGTAGCATTTGTTTATTTCACTAAGCAAAACATGGGATTAATTTTATATGAAAGTGCTTGATTCAGTCAGACAAACAAACAACTAAAATATTGACATGACAGATGTACCGAGGGTATTTATAATTTGTGGTGTTCAAACAAGTTAGAAGATTTATTGCCTGAACAAGGACCTTGCTAAGGATTCACAACAAATCAAGAAAATCCACACAAAGCAATGCAATGCAGTTAGGGTTGACATTTTTTTTATCTGTGCATATTATTCATGATGATATGTCACTCCTTTTTTTCTTAAATAATCTTATAATCATTATTTCATTTGCCACCTTCCTCAAACTAAACCTGAATAATAATATATCATTTTTTTATATGTTGTATATTAGTAAATTGTCGCATATGATAAATTTCATACATGGCATCATGCAATACTGTGGCACATAACGGTGGTACAACGCCATGATGCAATGCTGTGTCTGGTGCAGCACTGACGCTATGCTGTGTCTCATCACTGACATGATGCAATGCTGTGTGTGATGCATTACTGACCAAATGCTGTGATGCAATGCTGTGGCACATAACAGTGACACAACGCTGTGATGCAATGCTGTGTCTAGTGCAACGCTGTGATGCAATGCTGTGTCTAGTGCAGCACTGACGCTATGCTGTGTCACATCACTGACATGATGCAATGCTGTGTGTGATGCATCACTGACCAAATGCTGTGATGCAACACTGTGGCACATAACAGTGACACAACGCTGTGATGCAATGCTGTGTCTAGTGCAGCACTGACGCTATGCTGTGTCACATCACTGACATGATGCAATGCTGTGTGTGATGCATCACTGACCAAATGCTGTGATGCAATGCTGTGGCACATAAGTGACACAACGCTGTGATGCAATGCTGTGTCTAGTGCAGCACTGACGCTATGCTGTGTCACATCACTGACATGATGCAATGCTGTGTGTGATGCATCAGTGACCAAATGTTGTGATGCAATGCTGTGGCACATAACAGTGACACAACGCTGTGATGCAATGCTGTGTCTAGTGCAGCACTGACGCTATGCTGTGTGTGATGCATCACTGACCAAATGCTGTGATGCAATGCTGTGGCACATAACAGTGACAAAACGCTGTAATGCAATGCTGTGTCGAGTGCAGCACTGATGCTATGCTGTGTCACATCACTGACACAATGCTATGCTGTGTATGATGCATCATTGTGATGCATTGCTGTTCTGTGAAAAATGGAAAATTATGTCAATTTTGTCCAAAATTGAAATTATGGAAAAATACATAAAATGTGCAAAATATTGAAACCAAAATTTCGAGAGAAAAAATTGATAACATTTAAAGGGTTAAAATGCTCCATAAATATATAAAATGACATCATTGACTATAGCAAATTTATCTACTAAGCTTCATCATCAACATTCCAATTATTATATTCCACTATATTTTTATGTAAATAAACAAATAATATCTTCCCTTCATGATTTACATCGAGAAATTTCTGTTGACATCCTAAAAAATGTCCAATATTCATAAGAGTTAAATGATTATGATATACAAAGTTTATTATACAAAGAGACTGCATAGATATCAATGCAAGAAAAAAACTGAAATATTATACATAGCAATATTTGGTAATCATTCAAAATAACTGAACTTTTGTGCAATGACTCTTTATTGTAACAGTAGCTTTCATAAAGCTTGATATGAAAGAGCATTTATTAAGCAGCTTAGGGAGGCTTATTTCTTGTATGCAAATTGTCCATCTGGGAACATTAGTGAATGCTATTAAATTTTACTCCAGCTTGCTCGCTCATTGGTCAAAATTGAAAAGGTTTCCAAAAAGTTTTGCTGACAATACAACTCCAATATTATCAGAAAATTAACTATTAAAAAAACACTAAAAATCAACATTTGAATGTGGTCCCAGGTATGCATTTGCATATTAGTTTTAAAAGCCACCCCTAGCCTCATTAAAATAAATGCATTTTGATTATTTTGACTCCTGTCTTTGTATAAGCATCTTCAGCATTCTATTTGGCATCAACACTGTATTTGGCAATGGTGAATTGGTCATTGGACTTGTGTTTTTACCGCTGGTAATCCAAGACTCTATGGAAGATCTTTCATAGGAATATCCATCTGTTAGAAATGAAATACATATGATCAGTATATAAATTAATCATCCTGCAGAAAACTGCTATTCTGGCAAAGGCTTGCGTTCTCAAATCTGCAAAAAACTTTTATCAAAAGATTGATAGGAGTTATTTAAAGCAGGAGGGATGTCACCTGCGCACACGCGGGAATCCCAAGCTACGAAAACAACACACGCTAAAAACACAAATGTTCATGGGTAGATGCTTGTTTGTAAACAATGACACTCTATGGCAGTTTGATACATACGCAGGTGACGACTCCCCCGCTTTAAATAGACTTATTTATGAGGTATCAGAAATAATCACAAATTTGTCACTTGTTAACCATATGAACACCGCGATTTTTAGGGGGGGGGGGGTGTTAAACCAAAAGAACATATTTTTCTATTGGCTACATATCGTGATCAATAACATGGAAAAGTTTATGCAGTTATTTTTGTGAAAGGTGACAAAAACTGACTTGAAATTGTCCTGTGGGTCATTTTAAAATAGAAAGTGGGGTGAAAGCAATTTCTTATCAAAGGTAGTCATGAAAATCTTCATAATCACCACAGAAGATCACATGACTCATGCATGGATCTGTAGACCATATAGTTTAATTCCAAATTATAGTGCATTATGGGATTGTTAGTTCAGGTTCCATGAGTGGGTGTGCTTTGTGATTGGCAAAGTTATTCAACAATCGTATTATGCACTATACGTTTGGAATTGAGATATGGTCTGTAGTCTCACTTGTAAATTGAACCTCCTACTGTGAGTCAATTGCTAAAAATAAATATAATATTTCTGAGAATTCATGGTGATAAAATGATAGTCAGAGATGTCAATTTCACCATCAGATTAAGTACTCTGCCCAGCTGTTCCACCATAACATTAGCCAGGAATTAGTGCATTAGAAATGAGGGCGCTCTCTATTAACTGTAGCACATTAAGTAAATCCAAAACACTGGGCCAAGAAAACTATTTAACTTATCTGCGCTTTGAAAATTTCAATTTTGGAATATCTCTTCTTCTATTTGTGTCCACAAAGAAACATAAAATCTACCCGAGAAATTAATTTGCGAAACAAATTGGGTGTTTAATTTTTCAAACAAGAAAAGATAAACTTTAATCAGACGTGTGAAACTCTATGTAGGTAGCAGTACCGGATGCTCACCTGATGCAATAACCGGATCTCTCATCAATTCTCTGGTGATTGGACACAGCAACTCATCCGGGATATCAGAATCTGTCAAATATTAAAACCAGACACACTCCAAATTAAAGAACTTAAAGAAACACAATCATCTTATTTTCTCATCTTCAGTTTAAACTTATTTCTATATAGTGAATGCCGAGTGTCATTTAAATGCAGAACATCAGCGCTGCGGGCTACTATTGTTGCTGTTGTTGTGTCAAGTTTACATTTTAGGAGAATATCTGACCTGAAGTTGTCTGTCCTTGTAGCTGTTCCAGTATGCACTGTTCCTTAATCGATTCAATTCCACGAATTATTTTATTACGATGACCCAATGCACCTGAAGAATAAATAACAAAGATCAGTAACAGTGATAATAGTCACTGACTGAAAATGAAGTACATAAAAGTAGATCCTTTTAACAGAATCTGACAAATCATGAAGTCACTTACTTATTGCTAAATCACTTCTCAACACCTCACTTGTGATATTATTCAACTCCTGTCCATCAATCTCATTGCTTTTAAATGTTACAACATACTGTTCCAGTCCTAAACTTTTTAACCAATCACATACATCCTGAACTGACCAATCAGATAATGGTTTGATAGGTGATATTTTATTTCCTCCACAGCCTAATAGGTCGACTTTAATGTCAGCTGCCTCCGCTGTGAAGAGTAAATATTTTAATAATATACACCAACCTAGGGGAGCTAATCGCACAAGATGAGATTTCGTACAAATATGAAACATCAGATTGAGAAGAATAAAGAAGAAAACACTCAAAATCACAAAATAATTCATAAAAAATGGAAAATAGAATATAATCATGAAACAAAACAGCAGCAAACCACAATGTGTGGTGTTCTTACTAAGTTTAATTAAAATCTGCCGGTTTACTGCTGAGAAAATGTTTCATAATCATGGACACCGCTCATTTGAGGAGAACTGATGCTATGATATTATAATATATAGACCAATATCAACGATAGTCAGATTTATAAAGGGAGTGATTGCGCGAGCGTACACACGCTATTCCAGGGATAGGGGACCCTCCCTCTGGAGGTAATCCCCAATCCAAAAGATTTTAATCAGAGTTGGGGTTACTGACAAGTCAATAACCAGTTGTTAGATAACTTTTAGTTATCATAACAGTACGTAAGTATCATCCTATATTCCATAGTTTGAATAACTAATAGGCGGCTTTGCCGCGAGTTCTAACATACATATATATATATAAAAGAGGGTGCTGTTACATTAAAATAATAAACATCAACCTAAGGGATCTGGCACAAATTCCACTGGAGGTACCGGTAGGTGTACTGTTATTCTTTACTAACCTGGGGGAGCTGAAGGACCAAGATGCAATTTCCAAACACGACATGTCCTATCGTTAGAACCACTGGCTAAATATTGTCCATCAACAGAGAATGCACACGAAGTTATATACCTGAAAATAACAAATTTTAAAAATATATTAGCATAAATTTTACAGAAACCATATTTGTATTTTTGGTCATCGCACATGTCAGTTAAAATTAGACTTTTGTCAGAATGTTAGGTGAATTAAAAAAAAAATCCAATTTCCATGAAAAATCAAAATAAAAGTATATGCATCAATTTTGGCCAATTTTTTTACCTTTGCCTGACCATTTCTATTGAGGTAAATACATTCATTTACATACGAAAAGTTAACACCATAATAGTCATCATTATGGGCACACACCAATTTATTTTCAACATATTTCTATCCTGTTTTGCTACATGTAAATTCATACTATGAAACAAGAATTATTCAAGGTGTTCAATTTTTGAAGATATGCTGCAGGGATATTCACTTTTTTTTTACTGGTTTCTGAAGGGGAAAATAGATTCTAGTTTAAATGAAATATCCACTTGCTTTAAATTTAGTGAATTTAGCTATCATCAAAATGAAGAGTAAATCAAACCTAGCTAATAATTTAGTCTCACACAGTAGTGGATTTTCACTCAAACCAAATGATATTTGACAGTTATTACAGTTGATAACCAAATTAAATTACTTATTGGATTGAATTTAACAGTTAATAATACATGTTTTTCTATTTTTTATGAACATGAAAAATTATAAAAGGTAACACTGATGCCTGCGAAACTAAATCAACACATTTGAAACAAAACAGAAACTGGTATAGTGAAATTTTAGTCTAAAACTCATTATTCTCGGTGACAGTAAGTGTATGAACATCAATCATCAGACGAAAACATGTCTTATGTCTCCCTCGCCATGGCAACCTTATCTTGGCAACAATTTGCATCATTGACACAGATAATGGACATACCTGGGATGTGCATCTATAGCTTGTAGCATCTCTCCTTTCAACTATAAAGAAATCAAAATATGTGGAATCAAACACTAACTGATTCATTAGGGGTTAATTATGTATCATATGTTGTGGAATTCTGGGAACATACACCCAGGAGTATTTCCGCAAATCAAGGACGAGTAAAATTAATTGTAGTTTTCCAACAGAGCTTTTCTTTTAACAGAGGTTTATCTATGGGTTTTATAATTAAACTCTGATCGCATGATATCTGTTCATCCCTCTCTCCATGACATTATCCCTTCCAGATGACAATGTGTTAACACATAACTGATGATGATATATACCCGTACATGTTATTTTGAATATCCACAGAGGCTTTCAACAGGTCAGGTGTAATGAATATTATAACCAGAACATGCAAGCCTTTGAGTTGTGCATAGAATTGTGCAGAAAATCAATATGATTTTGAAATGACACCTTTAGTAGAATTTTATTTGGAACTTACGAATGATACCCTGAGTAATGTCCAATAATAACAAAAACAAAACAAAACAACAAAACAAAACAACAAAACAAAACAAGACAAGACAAGACAAGACAAGACAAGACAACACAACACAACACAACACAACACAACACAACACAACACAACACAACACAACACAACACAACACAACATTCAGGACAACAAGACTTGCAGAACTAAAACATATCAAAAATATAGAAAAAAAATTTTGCAAAAATGCTAATAATCATTACTTAAAACAATATTAAGAAATAATTCATCCATGCTAAAATCTTTCAACTTTGGGGCATAGATGTACAGGGCTGCAAGGTATAAAGTATGCAGGGTTAACTTTTCCAATAGCAGATTTTATCATATCATGTTTATCATTTAATTTAATAATATAGGGCAATGTGTAAAATAATTGCTCTACTAGTAAACAGTTGAGGTGTGTTTATGATCAAAATACCGGGTAAGTCATATTTTAATGATTCAGCGTACAATAATGTATTTGCTCTATTTGTAATGCATACACTCATGGAAATGACAAAGGTTCATCTATGCCTAAAATAAAGTCATATTTTAATGATTATTTTAACTGTTGACTTTCATGCATCTCCATTGGAGATGTATTTCTAATATGTAGCAAATACTTTTTAAGTTTAGACATTGATATCTATGGGAAGATTTACATGTCCAATAGTGGTGTGATACCTATAATCTCATGATGTCAGCTGACATGAACAATGTATCAATTTATTCCTGACCAATAGGAGTATCATGTGATATCATATACATCACTGGGATTACATAATCATTACATGCATGTAGCGACTGGAAATACAATCAATCATTAAATATATGTCTATACTTACAACTACATGAATGCTTTCATAATTCATTCATGAATATAACTACTGTAAAATACTTTATTTTAGCTGGAATTAATTTTCGCTGAAAAGGCTTTTTAGGTGTTTTGTATGGACTTTATTTTCACCGATTTTTGACGAGTTGAATGTAAAATATAGGAAAAAAGGTATATTCGCTGGATTTTATTTTCACTGAATCATTCCTTTAGTGAAAACAGCGAAAATTAATTCCAAGTGATAATATTTACAGTATAATTTAATCAAATTGTTTACATTTCAAGCACAATTGTAAAATGCATTAATTATTAAATTATTATTATTCAGCGGGTTTTGATTTTATAAGTTTTCACCACTAAGTAAGATCTTCTAAATGTTAACAATAAAATTCCAATAAAACTCATCAGCCATTTCATGAATTTATAAAATCCAGTAATTCAATATATCAAAATATTGAAATAAAAATAAGTGTGAAAATGAATGCTTTTTACATTATATAATTCCACAATATTAATTCTCGACTGTTCCATATGGACTACCCATCTATTTTTATCAACGTTGTCAGCTTGTAAGCGTGTCAGACAGAATTGATGGCATGCAATATATAAGTTTTTTATTACATTTCATTATCAAAAATGGAGTCAGTACACGTTATATAATAATGATAGTAGACTGCATTGCAAAATTTATTTATTTTTTATTACATTTTTTTTACAATAAAGCTGCTGTTGTTATTCTTCTCTGTGTGGGATTTTTTTTTTAATAAATAATACATAGATTTTTTTATTTTTCCTGTATAATTGTAACTTCTTTTCTGATGAATTCATGTTCATCTTGGCAAAAAAAAATACTCACCGGGTCCCATAGTATTACGGTCATATCTCCCGATCTGAAAAAAAAATCAAAAATGTTTTTTTATAGTTTGGTAATCAAAATTGTTGACATACTTATGGTGAAATTAATACGAGTGTTTATTAATCAAATTATATTTGAACTAGACCAAGGTTTGATTTACTAATTCTGGTATAAATTATACAGGCCAAACAAGAGAAAAACAGCATTGCCTTGCATAAACACTGTAGCAGTAGCCGAGAGGCAATTAAAGTAACGATCAATCATTTAGAAATACGTCTAAAGTACATTTATATGCAAATCATTGCACATACACATTATCAGTTTATGAAAATTATTTCATTGAACACTATAATATTTCCTCCTAAAATTTTGATAATTTCGCATAATTTTATGCAAAATTCCATAATTCCTTTTGGACCAAACAAACTATAAATCACTGTAATGTCATTAGATACAAATTTTCAAATAGAAATTGTGAAATTTTGTAAAATGACTTTCATAACATTTTGTCACAACTGTTGTTAAATTGCAAAAATACCTAGCAGGGAAAATTGAATGGTTACATTTCCTATTTCCAAAATTTAAAAGTATTCAGGAAACTACTCTGGTAAATTGCCATGGGGAAGATTAAACTAAAACGTTGGAATTACACAGAGAACGTCAATGAATAGTGAAAGTAAATATAAATCATTGGAAAACATACAAAGAATGCTTACTCAGCTGATGGGATTAAAGTTAATGATGCCAAACAGAATTAAATCTTTAATGGAGAAAACTAAATTTACCAGTAGTACATTTTAAGTACACAGATTTCTCAGTAGTTGCCATGACAATAACTCTGAATCCAGCTTTAGATGAGACAGACTTAATTTAGCATCACCTACTGATTGTAATTAAGTTTTTTTTTGTTTTGTTTTCAAGTTGACCTTTCGATTGTTTGTTATAATTTACCGAAATACGAGAGTCTAGAGAAAAATAACACTTGGGTCAGGGATACTATTAAAACTAAATAATGCATCCCAAACGTTCAATGTTAGAGACAGATACCCATTTTAGTAGAACAATGGCACACAGAATAAATTGTCAATTTCTTTATACTCGCTACATGAATGCTAATATAATTCGTGTCAGGTTGATTTGATCATAGAACACTGAAGGTCAAAGGTCAAAATCAGGTTATAAACACTGATGAGAATGTAACAAGTGCATTACTTTGTTTTGCTTTAACAGAGTCATAGCCGACATGAAATGTGTATTAATGCATTCAACCCATATTTGTTAGGGTGTTCACATCACATGGATAGTAAAGTACGCGTGTCATTATGTGATGATATCTACTCTAGTATTATCATATGCCGAAGTAATATGTTGTAGCAATAGCCACATTAGCATTATCATGTGGAGATGGATAGTGATGTGAATGCATTATCATGTGGAGATAGTGATGTGAATGCGTTATCATGTGGCGATAGTGATGTAAATGTATTATCATGTGGCGATAGTGATGTGAATGCATTATCATGTGGAGATGGATAGTGATGTGAATGCATCATCATGTGGAGATGGATAGTGATGTGAATGCATTATCATGTGGCGATAGTGATGCGGATGCATTATGTGGCGATAGTGATGTGAATGCATTATCATGTGGCAATAGTGATGTGAATGCATTATCATGCGGCGATAGTGATGTTAATGCATTATCATGCGGCGATAGTGATTTGAATACATTATCATGTGGCGATAGTGATTTGAATACATTATCATGTGGCGATAGTGATGTGAATGCATCATCATGTGGCGATAGTGATGTGAATGCATTATCATGTGGCGATAGCGATTTGAATACATTATCATGTGGCGATAGTGATGTGAATGCATCATCATGTGGCGATAGTGATGTGAATGCATTATCATGTGGCGGTAGCAATTTGAATACATTATCATGTGGCAATAGTGATGTGAATGCATCATCATGTGGCGATAGTGATGTGAATGCATCAT